GAATCAAACACAGATCCTCTTCAAGAGTAACAAGTGGGGTCAGAGAGATGGCTCTTCCAGAGGTTTTGAGTTCAATTCCCAGCAACCACAGGGTGGCTCACAACCATCTGTAATGGGACCCCATGCCTTCTTCTAATGTGTCTGAAGACAGCTACAGTGGATAGAAAGTAATTTGTTTCCCACTGAAAATATCAGTGAGCAATGCGGTATCTGATTATTATTTCAGAGAAAAGGAAAGGTGAGTCTCACACTGGCTGCTTGTGAGAGACATAGGAAGATGGTCTTGTGGGCCACAGTGCTCCCTCCTGATCCCACCTCTCAGAGTCGGCCTCCTTTTTCTTTTTCCCTCATTTATCATTCAGTTAATGATGGTTATGCCTTGAGGCCGGACATACCTTTTAACAAAAAGTTTCTTTGCACAAAGGAATTATGTTAATTATTAAGAAAATAACAGTTTCACTAAAGATAACATTTTCTTTGAATGTGAAGAGCCCTTTGTGCTGTGGAGTCTGAAGAGGAGCTAAGAGGTTAAGAGGCCCTCAGAGGCCTTTCCACAATGCTGGCCCTTGAGTGAGCCTGCTTCCTTCTCATTGGCTCTCATCTCCCAGGATCAGCTGTCCAGCTGCAAGCATCCCTGGGTTTGAGTTTTCATCGATGCAACACAGCACAGGACAGAAAACAGCCCCAGAAATTGGGTATGGTAGCACATGGTGCTAATACTAGCACTCAGGTCGAGGAAAGAGGATGCGGAGTTCAGGTCAGGGCACTTCAGCTACATAAAGAGTTCAAGGCCAGCTGGACTATGGTAAGAGCCTGTCTCAAAAAGAATGAGGAGGAGGAAGAAGAGGAGGAGGAGAAGGAGGAAGAGGAGGAGGAGGAGGAGGGGGAGGAGGAGGAGGAGGAGGAGGAGGAGGAGGACAAAGAAGGGGAAAGAAGGAGGAAAAGGAGAAGACGGAGAAGATGGAGAAGAAGAAAAGAAGAGGAAGAGGAGGAGACAGACGAAAGGAGGAGGAGAAGAAAGAGGAGGAGAAGGAGAAGAAGAAATAAAAGAAGAGGAGGAGCTTAAGGAGGAGGAGCTGGGGAGAAACTGGAAGAGGAGGAGGAGCTGGAGGAGAAGCTGGAAGAGGAGGAGGAGCTGGAGGAGGAAGAGAGGAGTTGGAAGAGTTAGAGAAGGAAGAGGAGGAGCTAGAGGAGGAGGAGCTGGAGAAAGAGGAGAAGGAAGGAATTCCTCAGAGTGGGAGAGGCTGTTCTGATACACAGCTTCAGAAGTTCATATCCATAGCACTTGGCCCTTGGTGTGAGGCTGTGGCAACATGAAGCATTGTGTCACAAGCATGTTAGAATGAAGCTGCTCACCCACCGTGAAAGCACACATAAAAGAGGCCAGGGACAAGAGGTGCCCTTCAATCTAGGCACACGCATCATCTCAACAGTGGACAGTCAAGGCCAGAGGGCCAAGAGTTCAAAGTCATCCTTGGCTATATGGCAAACTCAGCTTGGGCTACATATGACCCTGTCGCATGTACACAGAATGGCCTGCTTCCTCCAAACAAGGCTCCACCTACTCAAGATTCCAACACTTCCCAAAAAAGCATGAGCAGCTGAGGACAGGCTGTCAACGCGAGCCTATGAGGGCATTTCATACTCAACTCATAACAAGCTGAGACTTATTTCATAATAACCACAGGAACAAGGAGATACAGCCAGAGAAGGACACAGTTCTTAGAATCCTAACATGTTCGACACACACCAGCTGTCGGCACATGCTGGGGGCCACGCTGGGTCTCAGCCGTGTTTGGGAAACCGTGGCTCCCTCTTCTGAGTAAATAGTAGGCATCAAAGACCTTATCATGGAGTAGAAAGGGAACCTGAGGGGGTGACTCACAGCTTCCCACCTGCTTCTCACAAATGGACCCTGAGTTCTCACCTAACCACTAACCTTTTCCTAGAGCTTCTGGGCCGCTGTTCTTCTCGGCTTGACTGCTCTAGGCCACCGTCTCAGACCCACCCCAGCACAGCTGCTACACTTTGAATATGTTCCCCAAAGCCCATGTATTAAAACTGCCTCAAGTGTGGTATGATTTGTGCTCTTTCCTGTAATCCCAGCACTTAGGAGGGGAAAAAAGGAGGGACCAGTAGCCGAAGGTTGGCCTGTGAGTAACTGTTGAATGAGACTTGTAAGGTCAGGAGGACATCAGAAAGTCTGTGTCTTTCTAAATGAGCATTGCCTTTAACTCAGTCTGGGGTTCATAGCAGAACCCCACATTCCCATACACCCCAACCCCAAACCTTCCCTTTTATCAAGAGCCTCACACATCATCCGCCAAAGGCCAAATTCACACTTGAACTCACTCTCTTGTGATGTGTTCCGTGGGTCTCGATAAATGTGTGACACCACCATGTGTGGTAGCTTCACCCAAATCCGTGCATGCCTCACCAGGCATGCCTCGCACACACAGAACCTGATCTTCTTACTTTGGAGATATTTTTCAAAAATGCCTTCTGAGCAAGTCACAGAAGTTGGCAGAGGATGAGTCTTGGGAAAGAAATGTGTATAAACTTTGCGACAATTAGAGCAAAGTATAAACTATTCTAAAAAGCTGACTATTACTACAGTGATGTAAGACTAGAATCAAGAGTATAGTTCTCTATGTCTAACAGAACAAAGGGGTTTTTTAATGTTGATCTACTTTTAATAAAAGTTTTGGTGGATGATGATTATTTTATAGTGAGTCATGACCTAAGTTATTGACATAAATGTTTAGGTAACACACAAGGTGAAGTTTACATGAATCTTACCAAAGTCTGACAGCCCTGAGGTAATGTGCCTGTTATCTTAAAAAACCCTTTAGGTCAGGGCTGGAGAGATGGCTCAGCAGTTAAGAGCACTGACTGCTCTTCCAGAGGTCCTGAGTTCAATTCCCAGCAACCACATGGTGGTTGACAACCATCTGTAATGGGATCTGATGCCCTGTTCAGGTGTGTCTGAAGACAGCACACTCATATAGATAAATCTAAAATAATAATAATAATAATAATAACCCTTAGGTCATGAAAACAACTATTTTCTTGTAATTGCTAAAGATTCATCAAGAGATTTTCCTCGTGGTTATTCAATCTTTTGATATCTAGTTTTGGTTACTCTTGGAAACATCCACAATCAGATTCATGAAAAACATGCCAATAATTTGAGGGCGGATAGTCGAAAGTGGGTGGGTGGGTGGGGGAACGCCCTCACAGAAGCATAGGGGGAACCAGGAAAGGGGATAACATTTAAAATGTAAATAAAGAAAATATCCAATAAAATAAATTTTTAAAAACCATACCAATAAATACTCTACTCTTCAAATATTGATTCTTTGTGATTTTATATCATGTACCCCAGACCTGTTCATCTCCCCATTCCCTCATGTCTGTCCTTTGCCCTTGTAACACCCCTCAAATAGAGCACAAACACATACGCCATAGAAAATATCTCCTCACAGAAGCTGTAATATGTCACCATGTGTTCCACAGTAGACCCCTCTGTCCACACATCTTCACTAGCAAATGTTCATAGCAATGAGACATTGGTCTGGTTAGAGATCTCTGGCTTCTGTCACACCAACAATATTGGATCCTCGCCGAGACTGCTCCCGGTTATCCTGTTGTTGCCCTGGGTCTTGGAGATGATAGTGATTTTGGAGTGGCCCAACTCAGAACCCTGGAGCACAGCCTGGTTAGCTGCTGAGCTGGCCAGCCTGCCAGCTCTCCCTTATCTGCACTGCCAGCACAAGCTCTCCAGCACTGCTCCGGCTAGGTCACCCAATGCTGTCATCCTGCTCTCCTGTTCTCCTGAGCTTGTGTCCTCGGGGCCAGCTCATCCACACCCATGCCTCCAGTGCCAGCTCCACTGTTCTACCCACTCTCCTCTTCTGGCTGCCTTGGGTGCTGAGGGGTAAGGGAGTGAAGGAGTGGTGGGGTCAGCTCTCCCTCCCTCACATCCTCGAGGCCAGCTCACCCATATCCTCATGACCAGGTTAGCTCTAGTACGCTGCTCAGGTGAGGCGCAGAGCCTGCTTTTCCAAGTACTGTGGCAGTAACAGGTAGGGACAGCCCTCCTGCTGTCATGACCCCAGGGACAGCTCTTCTAACTGCCACAGGTCATGACCCCACATCCACAACACTGCATGGCAGAAAAGCAGTGTGGTCAGCTTTCCCATGTTCTCACCCTCGGGGCTGACTCACTGGTACCCCCAACATCAGGGTCAGCTCTGCTGTCCTGGCCAGGCAAGGTGCAGGGCCTGCTGTCCCAAATGCTGTCTCCAGTGACAGATGGAGCCAGCTTTTGAGAACACAGTCACCAGTGAGGCATGGGGACAGTTATGCACAGTCCCTGGATATCCACGTGATTCCCCAGTGGCTACCCCGGCCAAGATGTACCCCTGTTCTTTAGTGGTAACGACACTGACGGCTGACACTGGCTACGCTGGCTATGTAGCCACAGATGGAGGCACGGTTCTCAGAGGAGGCTCAGGCTGGGACCTCACCGTGGTCCCAGGTACCAGGGCTGGCTGCTCACAGCAGGCTACTTCTATTCACCCTTGAGTCTCCAGTTCCTCCTCTCTTTCTCTCTCATCTGACCACCACATACTCATATACTGCGGTAGTTCCTACTGCAGGTTGGCCACATAGCTGATAGACCCCTGAGTAACACCCTCTGTCCGAACTGCATGGCATGGTAGCAAGCAGGTGTCTTCTGCCCACCTATGCCTTGCACTGGAGGGCAGATCTGTGGGTGGCATGGTGGTCTGCCATTCTTACTTCCTTCTCCCACAGAGTGCTATGTGGTGGTAGGTGGAGCTCTGTGTGTCTATGACCCGCTAGAGATGTGGCATAAAAGACAAGTCTGTGGACATCTTTTCTTTCCTGCTCTGATTGACATGGTGGAACACAGGTCTCTGCCTGTCTTCCTTCTCCCACACTGCACTGCCTAGATTTGATTTGATTTGATTCGATTTTTATGTGTCCTAGGCATAAAACAGCTTTGCCACCAAGCCAGGCATCAAGCTAGGATGAATAAAGGCCTGCCGTCTGCTCTGCCCCGACCGATGTAAGACTACCACCACCAACAAAGTGTCGCTTTGCCCATTACCAGGGGTTGGATATCAAATTATTTTTATTTTGCATTTTCCTTTTTAATCTTCGCATCTTTTTTTTTAATCTGCTAAAGTACAATTTCTGACAAAATAATGCTGCCTTAGCACTCAGGAGCTGAGCAGGGAAGCACTCTTCCTGAACTCCCTTGATCCAGTGTGTCTAAAAGGATTTGGTGCTGACCCCATCGGTCACCTACCCTCACCCTCCCACTCTACCACCCATGACAGGAGCAACAGAGAAACAAGGACTGGACGGGACAGAGGGCAACTATGTTTCCACAGAAAAATCTCCATCAAAAGTAAGGACCCTAAAAGGCACAAGAATCAAAATGGAGACATTTGTGTCAACTTGAACAACAAATGGTAAACAAACTGGTGATAAACATGGGCTTGTACAGGTCACCACAAACTTGTATAAACTGGGATTCCATGTGGGCCTCTGCCTAGCAACTCCGCTTAGCCCCAGACTGACACAGGTAGAAGTCAAGAGTCACACACCTGAGTCATGCAGCGTAAGCAAGCCTGAGAACTACTACACCTCAAAGCTCTTGAGATCCCTGCTAGGGACACGAGGGAGGCAGACTCACAGAAGAAACACACACCAGTACTTAGTACAGACTCCGCCTGCACAGGAGCCTCTACCAGGAAAGTCAGCTCCAACCGCTTATCTGAGCAGTGAGCATACAATGTGCACAAGGGGTTCTCTACCTAGGTAGAGAAGTAAGGGAGGCCGAGGGCAAACACGACAAGATTGATCTGGTTTGTATGGTTTCCCAAGATCTTCCTCTGTGCCTGGAAGGGGTGGCTTATCCCAGGTACAGGCGATCTGCCTTTTGCACAGAAACTGTAACTAATGTTTAAAGAAAAGGCATGGGGCCAGGAGAGCACACAGTGACTCCACAGAAATTGAGAGCCAGAATAAACTCTTTGAGAGAGCAGGGTGGGGGGAGAAAAACACCAAGGTCAGGGAGTTCTCCCACACCACCCCCCCCCAAGCCGGGTCTCAAAGCGTGTTAACTGAAAGAGCCGGGTGCAGATACCGTCCGTCTACATGCTCCTTCGTGGGCAGAGAGTGTTATGAGCAGGCACCGTCACAACTGGCTTAAGCAGTGCTGGATATGGACCTCTTTAATGCTAGGCAAACATTTGGCCAGTTAAACCACATCCTCAACCAATACAAATGGATTCTTGAACTGAGGATGTGCCAAAAAGTCCTACAACTACCCACACTGTATTACAAATGACAGAGCAAACAATAGTATTCCTGAGTCTCTGCTAGGTGACTGACTAGCACATTTCAAGGCTCTCTTGCTTGGATAGACTTGCAGGGAGGGAATAGGTTCAAGAATGAACCCAAAGAGTACCACCACACCCAAAGCACAAGGCCTTAACTACCAGGTCTATCACCAGGCCTCTTGCTTGCAGACAGGGGCAGCAGCACCACCCAGTGGCTTCACACAGGTAGGCAGCATCATAGCATATAGACCCTTCTGGAAAGGCTCTACTCCAAGACCAACACTATTCCAGCCAGAGCCCATGAAGAGATAAGATCATGGTCTGTGGGCAACAACCTGACAAGGAGAGGAGGAGTCAGCTCCAATACCTTGATCTGTCCTGCTCCAGCCACCCAAGAGATTGGCTTGGAGCTGTGGGAACTAGTCCTGATCAATAGCAACCTTTAGTGGTACTCTCAGAAAGGCACTAGGCCTGGCAAAAGGATGAGGGAAAGAGTAGAGACAAATTCTCTGCTGGGAGAAGCTAGCTTCTATCCAAAGCCAACCTTGAGGACAATTGGACCTTGGGTATCTGTAGGCACATCCAAGGCTCTGCTTCTGACTCTCTTAAGGACATAGAACTGGGTTCCTCTGTCAGCATCCCTGTCTTAGTTAGGATTTTATTGCTGTAAAGAGACACCATGACCAAGGCAGCTCTTAGCTTACAGTTTCAGAGGTTCCGTCCATTATCAAAATGATGGGAAACATAGCATCATTCGGGCAGACTTGGGGCTAGAGAAGGAGCTGAAAGAGTTCTACCTCTTGATCTGAACACAGACAAGAAGAGACTCTTTTTCCACACCGTGTGATGCTTGAGCATTGGGAAATGACCTCAAAGCCCACCTACACAGTGATACACTTCCTCCAACAAGGCCACACCTCCTAACGGTGCCACTTCCCATGGGCTAAGCACATTCAGACCACCACATTCCCCTACCCCATCTCCTCTGATCAAGGTACTCCCCACTCTCATTGTCTACCCAACAGTTATTCGTGTATCTTTCTATCAAGAGCCCCAAGCTTTACCTCATCGGACTCCTGCAAACACTTCATGAGGAGAAACTTGAGATCTAGAAATCTAGACACTAGGACACTAGAAATCTCTTTTCTCCATATAATCCACCAAAGGCACAAACCTTTTAAAAATCTTAGCTAGGAAACAGGGGAGTGGCTCAGATGGTAGAGTAGCCCTGGTTCCATTCCCCACACCACATAAAACCTGCTATGATATGCACACACTGTAATCCCATTTTTGAGAGGAGGAGAATCATAAACTCAATTCCTTGTAGATATCATGAGTTTGACGCTGGCCTGGGCCACATGAGACCTTGTCTAAGAAAAAAAAAAGAAGAAGAAAAGTACATGGTTAATTGAGTTGTGTTAGATGAATTTTTAAAAATATGTTTTATCTTTTGTCATCATCCTATGAAGTAAGAGGCTATATGCTTATGAATTTTCCAGGTGATTGCTTTAAAATTTTCTTTTTATCTGCTGTGGATACACTTACAACATTGTATTATATAGGAATCAAGTACACACACACACACACACATACACACACATGCATGCACATACACACATCTATCTATCTATGTGTGTGTCATTATGTATAACTAAAAATTAACTCTTAAAAAGTACATCAGGCATAATGCACTAGCTTCCTAGGGTAGTTCCTCCCTTGTCACAGAATTAAAGATCTGAAGGAGGGTGTCTCTCATTATGGCTGTTAAGTCACAAACCAACAGTCCCAACTGCACCAACTGCAGGTGTCACTATAGTGATGCTATGTTTGACTGCTGGGTTTTTTTTTTCTTGGTTGGTTGGATGGTTGGTTGGTTAGTTGGTTGGATTTTTGTGACAGGGTCTCATGAAGAGCAAGCTGGCCTTGAGTTCCTTATGTAGCTAAAGATGACCTTGAAATATGATCCTCCCTCCACTACCTCCCGGACTCTTTGATCATAGGCCATGTGGTGATCTCAGCTCATGTGGTGTCACAAAATGAAACCAGGACATCATGCATGTTGGACAAGAACTATTCGTCTGTGTCTGCAATATTCCCCCAGCCCCTACTGAGTGTACTGGTATCATTTTAGTAATGCCCTAAGGTAGTCAGGCAGTAGGATTTTTAAAATCTTTTAGGCCAAACATGGTGGCGTACACCTATAATCTCTGTAACATGGGGTCTCCCCAGACCTGGGGCTAATACCAACCTGCCCCAGAGCTACACCCCAATCTACGTCAACATTATTGATTTGACCATTTAACAGTGGAGGGAATCTAAGCAGCAGAGAGGATAGAGACTTTTCTAACTCTGAATGAGCCTTCATAGTAAAGCTAATCCAGCTTGGGGAGGAAGTGGCAGAGGTGCTCTGTAAAGGAATCCTGCTATTCTGTGGACAGTCACCTCAGATCTGAACTTCTGCTCCCTTAGAACATTAAAGTTCACCTTAACAGTGTGAATTAAGGTTTGTTTGTGTTGGATTTGCCAGTGGTTAATAATTACCACAACTTGATGCTAGGACACATGGTAACTTTCCAATAATAAAGAAATCATTAAACAGCCATAATGGTGAGAATTATGAAGACGTGAAACGTATTTATAACTTAGTTCCGAGTTCAAGCAGAAAACACAATGATGGGTAACTCATATGTAAAAACAAAAGATGGGTAACTGTGGAAAAAAACTAAAACGACAAGAAAGGCAAGGAACTTCCTGTGTTGGCAGTGGGATTTTTAAAATCTTTTAGGGCCAAATGTGGTGGTAAACACCTACAACCTCCTTGCTTGGCAGGACCGAAGTTTAGTTTAAGACCACCTTGAGCTATATGAAATTATCAAAAGAAGACTTTCAATGGTGCTATTATACTTTTTATAAAACTGAAGAAAGAACTATTCTGAGCTCTCCCCAGCAAGTTTTCAATGTGTCTACCTTCTCCCATAGGCTGACATTAGTGGATTGGTTCAAAACAATTCCCCTGCACTGATACCCATGACAGATTAGGCCAAGTAAGAACAGCTTTGAAAGGTGTATGTCACAAAATAGAAAAGGCTCTGGGGAAGGAAGGGACTCCCTCCAGAGTGGGGTACCATTTGTGACCTTATTAGGATAGTTTAACCAGGGCTGGGCCTCTCAAATGAATAGCAACCACGCTACTAAATAATCACCTTACTCTAGAGCCCAGGTCACTAGAATCAGACAGTACATAAACAGTCACCTCTGCTGAGTCCTTGGGATTATGAGCTGAAGTCGCCATTTAGGGTTCTGACCTCAAAAGCCGTAGGAGTAAATGGCTCTGACAAGGCAAACAAGTGGAAGCACGTCATAACTTTGATTTCTAACTAAAGAATGATTTGCTAACTGTAATTTATATAAATATGTCCTTAAGTAAGGAACGTCATTCCCTTAGTCTCCAAGTACTGCTGGTTGGCTCTCGCTGCCTAGAAGAAGAGGTGGGAGCTTAGGCTGGGCCCTGAAAAGATGGGACACTTTCCAGTGTAGAAAGCAGCCCTGCGGGATGAGGGGAAATCTTACCTCGTGGGTATCCTGTGCTTCTCTTCCTGGACACAGAGGAAGGAGGAAAGATGCTGAGCTGCTCTGAAACCTGACAGCAGTGTGCCCTGTGTTGGCTGGTAGGCCTCTTTTTGTCAGCATACCTTAACTTTGCTTTTCTGTCAGTTACTACATATGTGTGTACCCATCCATACATGATAAATCTCTCCCCAGACCTGAGGATATATCTTGAGGAATGCTAAAATGAGAGCCTCATATGCCCCCCCTTATCAGCCGAGGACAAAAAGTAACTTGCCTTTTGCAATGCTGGACCCTAAAAACAGACCCTGCTACAGATGCACTACGGCAAGACCTCAGGTCCTCAGCACTGTTGAGCTAAAGAGCAGAGAGAGATGAGTTAGCCATGCTGACTCAAGACAGGCACTGTGGCAGAGACGCGTGCTACGGTAAACCTTGAGGCAGCTGGGGGCGAGGCAAGCAGAGTCTTTACAAACAAAATGGAGATTAGATGAGATCTCTTAAATTACCCCAGTGGCAAAGGTCAATGACAAGGGTGGCATCTGTCCAAGATTAAACAGGGCAGATGCACTTACAGAAGCTGAGGAGTATGTGTGTGTGTGTGTGTGTGTGTGTGTGTGTGTGTGTGTGTGTGTGTCTGTATTGTGTGTTACTGGGTGTAGATATGTGTAGATATGTAGGTGGTATGTGTATGACTCTGTGTGTGAGGTTGCAGTGGGCTCTGTGCAAGGTTGTGGCTCTGGCTCTGATGTAATTATTTTTTATGTAGGGCATATGGGCTAGCCTCAGACTTCCTATGTAGCAGAAAATGACCTTGCACTCCTAATCTTCCTCCCTTCACATCCAGAGCTCTGAGATTATATGTATACACCACCATGCCCAATTTATGTGGTACCACAGATGAAACTCGGCTTCGTGCATGTTGGGTGGAGAGTAAACAGTTATTGATAACAGGTAGTCACCTCACAGAATCTACACAACAAACACAGATCTTGCTTAGAGCGAATACTTCTTACATAGAAAACTGAGATTTCTGTATCTAAATGTCACTCCACCAACAAGGCCCTCACAGACCCCACAGAAGGGCCTGTTCTGACACAGATGTGAACTGCAACTAGCTCCATGTAGCATCGCAGGCAACCTTGCAAATGTAGGAGACGAAGACTGTTACCTCTCTCCTGATGAGCTGGACCACCTCTGAGATGTGTGGACATCTGATTAAATAGTGACCAGCAAAACCCTTGAAAGACCAAAGAGCAAATTCTTCAAAAGAGTGACAGTCTGCCTACCCAAGACCTGACAGCCTCGGAGTTTGTCAGTCAGTCTTCCCTTGCCTTAACAAACTCACAAGAAAATCAGTTATGAACAGAGAAGAGTTTGAAAGGTTCAGTCTGTGATCAGATGTTTCCAGGCCTGTGATGGGGTGAACAGCACAGCAGAACGTCATGACAGAGCAAAAGCTCACCTCATGACTAGAAAATGGACAGTGGAAAGAGCCTGGATGGATTCTCCCCTCTGAGGACATGATACCAACAGTCTAACTTCCTTCCACTAAGCCCATTCCCAAGATTCCAGCACCTTCCAGCAGTGCAGAGGTGGGGAGCTAGGCTCTGACCTGTGGGACTTGGGGGATCCAAACTATGGCAAGTACTACAGATACCACTAATGTACTAATAAAAGTACCTGGAGCTTTATTCTAGAACAAATTGCTTGGGCTGAGAATGCACTCAGGTATCCATGCACCCATGCACTCATGTGCCCATGCATTCATGCACCAATACACTCGTGTATCCATGCATCCATGCACCCATCCACTCATGTACCCATGCACTCATGCACCAATACACTCATGTACCCATGCACCCATGCACTCATGCACCAATACACTCGTGTACCCATGCATCCATGCACTCATGTACCCATGCACTCATGCACCAATATACTCGTGAATCTATGCACCCATGCACCCATGCACCCATGCACCCATCCACTCATGTACCCATGCACTCATGCACCAATACACTCATGTACCCATGCACTCATGCACCCACCCACTCATGTACCCATGCACTCATGCACCCATGCACCAATACACTCGTGTACCCATGCATCCATGCACCCATGCATCCATGCACCCATGCACCAATACACTCGTGTATCCATGCATCCATGCACCCATCCACTCATGTACCCATGCACTCATGCACCAATACACTCATGTACCCATGCATCCATGCACTCATATACCCATGCAACCATGCACCAATACACTCGTGTACCCATGCACCCATGCACCCATGCACCAATACACTCATGTACCCATGCACCCATG